AGTTTAGTATAATTTGTTAGCTCAAATTTCTTGCATTCTGCTTTAAAATATTTCCAAACACCTATCATATCTAATTTTTTCACCTTTAGCGCAACGGCTTTAATTCTTCACAAATTTTCATCTAATAATTTTAAAACTAATTAATTTATTTCAGCTAAATAACAGATCATATACTGAACGGTCATCATTTCAACAACAATCAAAAATTATGCCATTTTCATCGTATCACATTAATCAGCAACAATCACAATCTGCGCCATTTTCATCTTATCACAGTAATCAACAACAATATTCTTTCTCCCAATATGAAAAGTAAAAATTTCACTTCGTATTAAATTATATATGATAGTATCTGAATGCTCCTCGCATTTTCAAACTTGTGGAAATCATCATAATATGATGATAAAATCAATCAATCAATTAATCAATATTAGTCGATAAAATTCGTAAATTGTTTGTAATCATTACTTTTCCATAATTTGTTCATTTTTAAAAGTTATTCCCATCATTTTCTCATTTCATACGCATCGTTACTCTTTGTTTAGTTAATTCTTTTAATTTCGTGTAAGCTAAAGTTAAACATTTTATATTGGATATAATATATTGCCATCAATTTAGAAAATTTAGCACTACATTGGCATTACACAATACTCGTTGATTATGAATAATGTTAGCTTAAATTTAAAAAATTAAATGAAAACAAAAAAAAGAAAGGAATAAACAGTTTTTATGCTTCATATATTTTCACATAAAAAGTAAAGTTAATTCTATTATATAAGGTGAAAATGTGGTTGAGACATTACTTCTGCATACTTACTTGCACAAAAATAGTCATCTTAGCTATAATTTTAAATAATTGAAATGCGAAATGAAGTAATTATATATTTATCATAACTTTCACCTCAGAAAATACATTTTTACGTATAAATTTATATTCTAAAAAAGGCGTGGATAATTCGTATTTCATTTTTTTATGTCTATATTATATTTTTAAAATTAAAATTTCATCCGCCAACACGGTTAACTTTTGTATTAGAATTCATGGAATATAAAATTTAGATATAAATAAAATTAAATTGTTCATTTATAAAATATGCTAAATGGATTCATTTTTCTTTTATTTCAAGCAATAATGGAACGATACCTAACGAAATACCGTATATTACGGATCCGAAATCGTATATTCGAGCATATGCAACACAGACACCAGCTTATACAGTAATGGACTCATCAGGAGATGCATATCATAACACTTACCATAATGCAGGACGACGCATACCAAATAGTAATATCAATAAAACTTATCAGTTTGTTAAGGAACTTCGAGATCAAAGTACTTTCTTGTAGCCTTTTCTTTTTTCTCTGCCATACTTACCATTGATTGTAGTATTATTTTAATTACTTTAAGTAATTGATTAAAGTAACAAAAGGTCAAGTGGATAAATTGGAAAAATTAGCTGTTAAAATTGGTATTTTTCAACTGATTTTACATCACATCTTTTAATTTAATATTGAGAATGATGTAATACATTTGCAAATTGCTTTTATCTTTTTGATTTTCCAAAATTCTCCTCTTCTTTTTCCAAAATGTAATTTTTAACAAGACAAATCAATGCTTAAAAAATTTGAAATATTTCATAATTAACATTTTCATCGATTGGTAAATTGAAATATACCAAATAATCAATCAAATAAATTCCCATATAAGCGACGGAAAATTGACGTTTAACGTGTTCAGATAACTAAACGTTAATTTTTACACAAGAAAAATAGTTCTGAAATTTTGCTATTTCTAATGTTGTACATCAAATTATAGGTTTAACAAAAACGCAACGTATCGCAAATCAATTCCAACAATCACAACTTCGTGATTTACCAGCACCACAAAGCATGGAAAGCATCTATCAAGTAAATTTAAATTTAAAAAAAAAAACTCTTTTCTTTGAATTTTTTTATCCAAAGAAATTGTAGACGGTACAATAATTTTCCATGCAAACAATTTTTCATCGTTTAATAAATTTAAAAGAATTTAAAAATCCAAATATTTCCACATAAACTTTAGGTTACTCTTTCAATTCTTCTTTCATTTAATTTCATCAATTTTCAGCAAAAAGAACGTCTTGGACGCGATCATATCGATTCATTAATTCGTGACATGGAATGGAAGCTAAAAACCGGTGAAGGAGGTAAAATATTCGTTTGTTTTTTTTTTTCAATTTTCTTATGAGAATTTAAAAATTTTTAGATTTAAATGAAATGTTTTTTTTAAATCATTATTACTACAAGTATTAGAAAATCGAATTCAATGATACGATTCAATGCGTACCTCAATTCTATCTTAGTTAGATCGTACAAGTATATAGCTGTACGTGTCATGGAATTCGTTACGTGCACGTACGATCTTTTCATAATTTTCGAATAATTATCAAATTTGAAAACTGATGTATTTACTGTCAGAAAAACAAATTTCCATCGTATGAACTGATGAATTTTAATCAATAACTCATTTAAATATTCAAAAATCTTTTAATGTGTTATTGATTAAAAATTTGGCAATATTTAAAAACACTTTTTCCTTTTTCCCTAACAGAATTATCACTGAAATAAACTTTTCCCTTACCATTTATGCCATTATTTTTAGATATAAAGGCAATTATTTGCTTGGGAAAAATTTTTCGAGCATGTTTATTTATGGTTGCATCAAAATTTCTCAACAATAACTTCTAATAATGTCTTTCTTAAAATATTTCACAGATTATCAATAAGCAAATATTCAACCAAACTAAGCTTTCTATCATAAATAATCATTTTATGATTTTGAAGTGTTGTGCAACCCAATCAGAGACGATGATTTTAGAATAATTTCGGATGATTGTTGTTAATTCATGAAGATTTTGGAAAAGAATTATTATTTTTTTTTTACACTGAATATAAGCATACATGCTTATCTAAATATTTATTTTCTTTTTCAATGCTAAATAAATTAATTCATAGCTCCCTTTCTTTCAGAATAAAAATTATTCATTGATATATTCCTATAAAATAACATATCATTTGATTCAATTAATTGCAGTTTTTTTCCATTATAACAATTTATAATAATAAATTAAATGGTGCTCAATTACATCAAAACTTTGAAAAATAATTTTATCAATTTTTCAACAATAACAACGAGAATCATTTTGTTTATAACAAATTTTCTGCTAATTTACATTATATTTCATCAAATTTAACAAAGAAAGATGAATGAAACGGATAAACATCATCATCGGTAAAGATATAAATAGCAATGATGTTTTGCATTTGTAATCACTAACATTTGAAAATGAAGTAGTATGAATGAAATTAATCTTAATTTACACATCCACTAATTTTACATTTTGATGTTAAATATTTCAAAAATTGCGCTCTTTTCTTTCCTGGAAAAGCTAAATTATTCAAAATTCCTAATGGGCAAAAAAAGACATGATGTTGAAAAAAATTTATGTTGATTGTTAATTCTTCGTTATCGTAGAATTTTGAAATTATCTGATTATTTAAATTGAGATAAAAATAATTAAGCAATTAATAAGAGTAATGAAAATAATTAATAATAAGTCATAAAAATAGCTAATGATCGAGAAATAATTCGCAATGCATTCAATTTCAAATTATATCAAAATAAATTGTGCAAAAAATTCTACGACATTGTTAACATTTGCAAATGCATCCGAAAATAAAATTTTTTCTAACATTTTACTGCTGTTCTGCATGATTCATTCTTGAAATTTCTCCTTATTCTACCATTCTTTGAGCGAAAAAAATTTCATCATTAATTTTAAAATGCTTCATTGTTAGCTGATATTTTAGTAAAATAAATGATTAAAATTGATGACTGAAAGCTATAATAGATTGACAGCACTGTACTGAGTTATATTCGTTGAAGCGATAAATTAATTAAGCAAATTGGTAACTGCTCCTGTAAACTTTTTATCATAGGTCATCTGCTTCCAATTAGCTATCAATGACATCTTTTTATTAAGCTCATCTATTTAATTGCACTTTCTTTTGATGTATGGATAATCATAGTCAAGTTTAGGCTGCAGCGATAACGCGTGATAAGCCAAAAATCTTTTTGTTAGCCTTTGTATTTATTTCCATTTTTTAAAATCACAATTAAAATTATACATATCATTGAGTTTTTATTTCAATTTAAAAAAAAGAAATTTTTTCATACTGAATTTAAATTTTAAAAAAAAAGCATAAAATTACAAACAACATCTTTTTTTCCTGTATTTCCTTTTAAAATTTCATTAATAGTTTTTGGTTCTTTCTTTTTTCATTTAAAATACAAAATAATAAGAGGAAAAGAGAGAGAAGGAGAGACAAAGAGAGGGATGAGGAGAGAGAAGGGGAAGGGAATGGAGAGGAAGAGTGAGTATATGTTTGCATGAAACCATAACAATGAAATGTTTTGGAGATATATTTGCTTTGTTGATTGTTAAATTTTCGCAAGATCTACTTCATTTCTCATAAATAGCTACTACTACTTGACAATTACCAAACTTTGGTATTTCTTTCCTTCTTCTCATCCGCCTCTCTCCCTCTTTTATGCATAAAATTTATGATAAAAGAATAAGTTGGGAAAAAAAGGAAAAGGAGAAGGCTGATGATATGAGGGATTGATTTGAAGGAAAAGATAACAAAAAATGATATGACAGTTCAATAAAGTAAAGAGAAAGGTGAGTTCATTGAAATTGATTTTGAAACGAAAGGAAATTATTTTTTTTCTCTCTTCCGGAGAAATAGAAAGAGAGAGAGCGAGGAAGAGGAAGAAAGGTGAAATAAATATTAAAAAAAGACTTTTTTTTTTAAAAAATTTAGAATAACACGGAATTGAAAAAAATTTTACGTAAAAATGAGTAAAAGGAAAAAAGGGAGAAAGAGAGGGAGAGAGAGAGAGAGAGAAAAAGAGAGGGAAAAGAAGAGAATGAGTATTAGGTACAATAATATAAACAAACAACGGAAAAACAACAGGAATTCCTGTGCACTCTCCACCTCCTATTGCTTTTTGATCTGATGAAATAAGTTTCAAGGCTATATAGCCAAGTATATTTAGATTTAAATCATAAGAGATTTAAATCGTTTGAAGCCTGAAAGCTTATCGTCATTATTATTATCATCTCACTATTATCATTATTAAAGCAGCAATGTCAACGGAGCAAGAGCAACAACAATCCGAAATTATACCTGGTTGGTCATTTTAATTCATCTTCACACGAATTTCATTCCTACACAATTACGTTAGGCTAATTGTAAATCTACAATTAGTTACAATTGTTTATCATATACCATATGCATGAATGTATAAGGCATATGGTATATGATAAACGTAAATTCTTATAATATATTTACATCTGACTTTTGCA